CACTTTCATATACATACTTACATACAAATACATACATACACACATACATACCCATACATATACATGCCCATATACATGTATTCATGCTTCTTAAAACTACGAACAAAAGAAGAGGAAGAGGGATATAAGAACTATAACAACAAGTTTGTTTGAATTATAAGAAAGCATAGGAAGGAAGTATATAGGAATTATTAAATAAAAGCAAGGGTGGTATGAAAGCAACATAGGGAGTAATTAATAGTGTTTTGAAAATCATAAAGTACAATCTTGTATGTCACAGTACATTTTAAAGGATGACAAGGAATTATACGGTCAAAGTGAAATGGTAAATAAATTCAATCAATCATATGTGAACGTTGGCTCAAGTCTTGCAACTAAAATTTCAAATAAGCCACACAAAAACTGGCTTATGAGAGCTTTTGTCTGGACACCTTTTCAAGCAGAGCCTACAATTTTCAAATGGCCATATCTTTTTTTTATGATTTCTATGTCCATCCGTTTTCTGCCACTTATCCGGGATCCAGTCACAGGGACAGCAGCAAATGCAGAGAGACCCAGACTTCCCTCTCCCCAGCCACTTGGGCCAGCTCATCCGGGGGAACCCCAAGGCGTTCCCAGGCCAGCCGAGAAACATAGTCCCTCCAGTGTGTCCTGGGTCTTCCTCTAGGCCTCCTCCCAGTGGGACATGCCCGGAACACCTCACCAGGGAGGCATCAAGGAGGTATCCTAACCAGATGCCAGAGTCACCTCAACTGGCTCCTCTCGACGTGGAGGAGCAGCGGTTCTACTCTGAGTCCCTCCCGGATTACTGAGCTTCTCCCCCTATCTCTAAGGGAGAGCCCAGACACCCTGCGGAGGAAACTCATTTCGGCCGCTTGTATCCACAATCTCATTCTTTTGGTCACTACCCAAAGCTCATGACCATAGATGAGGGTAGGAATGTAGACCGACCAGTAAACCGAGAGCTTCGTCTTCTGACTCAGCTCCCGCTTCACCATGACAGACCTGTACAGTGCCCGCATCAGTGCAGACGCAGCACCAATCCGCCTGTCGATCTCCTGCTCCATTCTTCCCTCATTCATGAACAAGACCCCGAGATACTTAAACTCCTCCACTTGGGGCAGGACCTCCTCCCCGACCCGGAGACGGCTCGCTACCGGTTTCCAGCTCAAGACCATGGTCTCGGATTTGGAGGCACTGATCCTCATCCCAGCAGCTTCACACTCAGCTGAGAACCGCTCCAGTGAAAGCTGGAGATCACAATCTGATGAAGCTAATGGAACCACATCATCCGCAAAAAGCAGAGACGCAATCCTAAGGTCATCAAAATGGATCCCCTCAACACCTTGGCTGCGCCTAGAAATTCAGTCCATAAAAGTTATGAACAGAATCGGTGACAAAGGGCAACCTTGGCGGAGTCTAACTCTCACCGGAAACTAGTCCAACTTACTACCGGCAATGCAGACCAAGCTCTGGCACCAGTCGTACACGGACCTAACAGCCCATATCAACGGGCCTGGTACCCCATATTCCCGGAGTACCCCCACAGGAGTCCCCAAGGGACACGGTCAAACGCCTTCTCCAAGTCCACAAAAACACATGTAGACTGATTGAGCGAATTTCCATGCATCCTCCAGGACCCTGTTGGAGGTGTAGAGCTGGTCCGCTGTTCCATGACCAGGACAAAAACCACACTGCTCTTCCTGAATCTGACATTCGACTATCCGACTGACCCTCCTCTCCAGGACCCCTGAATAGACCTTACCAGGGAGGCTTAGAAGTGTGATCCCCCTACAGTTGGAACACACTCTACGGTCCTCCTTTGTAAATAGGGAGATCACCACCCCAGTCTGCCAATCCAGGGGAATTGCATTTCAGCAACATCTAGTGGATGAGTGGTTGAATCATCCTCCCTGGTCCTCCTCCCACCTCCACCCCCCGCCCTTCCAAACGCAAAGGAATTGCTACGTTGTCTCTCAGCTGTCAAAAACGTTTGATGATTCCAACTGCGATGTCGACCAGCAGCTTCAGGGCTAGTGATGTTTCAAGTGGTAAGATTATGAGCTTTAATAAGTAAAATTATCCCAGCTACAATGACAGACAACAAATATT